CTACTTTGAATTCAGGGCAAGCTTTTTACACGTGGAACTGGAAACTCTGACCATATCTGGGGGCAAAATTATAAACATTCTGAAAAGAGTATAAGCTTTCCAGTTCATTAAAATAGAATTTAAAAGCACTATATTTACTTGCAGAGAGAAAAGTTTCTCTGACTCTAATCCCAAAGTGATTTTGAAAATCAAAACATTCTCCAAGCTGTATGGTAAATTCTTAAATCAGAAAAATGACTATCTGTATTTCTGTGTGTGCACTAAATAGACATACATATATACACACCCACAAAACTCTACCATGCTGATGTTACTAAAGGAAGATTCCTATGAAGGAAGTTTGGATAGTATAGCTAAGTAAGGAATTAAAACTGAGTGACATACATCATAAGGGCTGCAAGCGATTTACACTTTTCTATCCCCAGGATTCTGTGACAGGGCACGTGTCTCAGCGGACAACCAGAAAACCCAACACAGGACCATTATGCACCTACCTTCTCCACTAAGGAAAAAAAAAATGCTGTAAATATGCTTCCATTCCATTATATACTTTTTCACTACACAGGACCAGACATTTACTTTTTAATAAACTTGAAAGAAGCAGGCAATGCAGGCTAATGGATAAACAGAAACCACAAAGGATTATTATTAGTATGATTACCTCCATGGATAAAAATTAGAGGAGAAAAGATTACAGCTACCATTTAAACACTAGTATGAAAATACATAATGATCCTGTATTTTTCTCAAATAGTGATATTATAAATTATCTTGCACCAGAATTAACACTTCCCTTTTTACAGTCTAGGCCACACCTTAAGAAATACATACTATGCCACCCAGAATAGTATGTGTCAAAATTTGGTGAAACTTCTGAGTATTAACACTATAATAACATAGAAGCCATCAGATCACATTTCATAGTTTTATTGAGACTTTTTCAGTTTTAATTGTCTATAGTAGGTACAATTCTGATGATCATGATCATATCAAAGCTCTCCTATTATAAATAGATAGTAAATTGGCCACATGCCTTAGACACAAACACATACAAACACACGATATTATACACTCCTGCATGCAAACTTAGAGGACATACACATTCCTTTTATTAAAAACAATTATATACAATAAGTCTGGAATTTGTTAAGCTACCAATGATTTAGATAAACCTGAGAAGGCTCAAAATGTCAAGTAACACTGTTTCCATACTGCTCATTCAATGAAACTGTTAATCACAAAGAAATCTAGTTCAACTATATTAAAATCACAGATAATACAAAAATAAACATTTTTGCAAAAACACTAAACATACTAGAATTCAAAGTCACAAATTTTGATATGTAACATATATTCCCCTTCATATTAATTTGTGATGATGTGTATAATACAATGTACAACATAATAAAAATTGTAACAGAGTTCAGCAGCCAAATCATTTAAAGTTATCACTATAAAACTTGAAGTTAAAGTTACCAACTAAACAACAAGAACATTAAAATAGCAGTGTTGAACTTGCTGGTAGCGTGTTACTTAGAAACTACATCTCAAAGAACTCAAGATTGTATTCTTTCACTTTAAGAAGAAACACAACACAAAAATGTAAGCAGAACTGAGGACAGTAAGGGATTTTATCAGCTGCCTCTTTTCTCTCTCCCCCATCCCCTCTTGTTTTTCCTCAAATTCTAATCTATCTATAATGCCCATGCCTCCAGACTTCTAAAATGTAAGGGATCTAATTTGAATTTAGGACAACCTTTCGCATTGGAATTGGAAGTTTCAACCATATTTGGGGGCACAATTCTAAAGGTCTTGAAAAGACAATATAAACTTTTCTATGTCATATAAAATAGAGACAACACAGACCTAGTCTGGCAAAGATATTTTGTATTTACTATTGAGCTTATGATAGTTTGACACCACAGTGTGTCTATATAGAGAACCCTAAGTAAAAAGGTAAACATGCAAAAGCACTTCTAGAGAAAATTAACCACTTGTATCACAAAACATTCATATTTTAGATCAAAAAAATCTTCAAACATTTCAAGATACTGGTATTTGAAAAGCAAAATATACAATAACTCATTTCATCTGTGCATCACATTACATAAAATACACTAGTGTGACATATTATACATTGTAATAAATATAATTTACATCAGCCTATTTGATCTTTCAAGAAAGCCTTTTAATCTGTACAACTGAAGAATTGTGAGCTTCGTCAATAAATACGATTATGTTAGTTATAAAATGACCAGCTAAGTTAAAGCTTCAGGAGATCCCTAACTACATACATATCTTCATTTTCCCTAGTCCAATTCCAGCCACTGTAAGCACAGACATCTCTTGTATCCAAAAGCAGTTTACTGTACTGTCCGAGTAGATTGAAAAAACTTATAGGTCATAGATCCAAATCATAATTGGTGAACTTTGTGAGAATTTCTAGCCCAGGACTGCAGTGGAAGAGTCCTGGAAAGTACAGTAGCAGATTTCATGCACCTCTGGCTGGCTGTAGTTTTAATGTTCTACCACATCCCCTGAGGTCCCAACAGATGGAGGTCATCTAACCTTTTTAATCCATGGAGAGTGGTGTTGAAAGAGACAGAGTTCCACAGTTGGCCAAGTGGCAAGGTCGTGTTTTTAATGCTGAATCCTAACCTCTGCTGTATCTCTTCTTGGTTTGTGTTTATATCATTTCCATGCAAATGCATAGTGATGTTTGAAGAGTCAAAGACACCAACTGGTGAGCCAAAAATACCTTAAACTTGGCATGAGAATCATTTTGTAGTGTGAAATTTAGTTAACTGATAAATTCTATAATTTTAGCAGTTTTTTCATCAAAATGCCAACAGATTTCTGCCTTTACTATTAAAATACCTACTTACATCATCACACGTCATCAGATTTCCAGCCAGATAGATCACTGCTTCATCTTGACTCTTTGTGTGTTTTTACCATTAGCACAAACTTTTCCTGGAGACCTCTTTGTGCCTAGAAGGGGTTGGGCAAGATCATTCTTGTTACTATTTGGCATGTATTCACACGTTGTCATTGTCCACTACATGATGTATGAAGAAGAAACACTGGAAAAAACATGCCAAGAAGTAAAAGGGCATTTCTGGGCACTGTCCACTTCACTGGATCCACAGTCCAAAAGAAAGTTCTCTGGGAGCTGAAACACAATGTATGTAACATGTATGGTAAACCAGGCAGGCATCCTGAGACCTAAAAGGAAGAAAACTAAAGTGAATGGTGAGGAAATATTATAGAAATGTGTACCATTAGCTTATGAGTTCAAGGAAGGTACAGGCTTTGAATTTCCATTTTTGTTAATGTAGTGATATTAATCTTATGTCACTGAGCATGATGTTTGACAAGGATCGTACAGTAATGACATATTTTATAGTTTTCTTTTTGGGATTCCACACAGACAATGAATGCTATAGAGGACCCTAACTAAGTGAGAACCTTAACTAATCTCTTTCCTCAAAACGAGGTGGTGTAGGTAAGACATCTAACTGGTTTCTTTTTGATTTGGCTCCTATAATTCTGTGCATTAACCCAAACATATAAAAAAATCACTTTTAGTAAGGCTTAACACTGCTTTTCTTCATTGATTTTAGGGGCCAAAGACTGGATAAACTGAAGCAAGTCTAAGAAGAAACTGAAGGTCTCACAAATCCACAGGCCACCCAGGTACCACAGGAGCTGCTTAAGTCCTGACTGTCCTGTCGCTGTGTCCCAGAGGTGTTCTTGCCTTAAGACAGACTCCAAATTGCTTTACTTACAAAGTGCTTTCCAACAAGTTATCCCACCAATAGCTGCAAACTCTAATGTTGGCTTTTTTGAGGCTAGTTTTAACAAAAATTCCTTTGATACTGTATTTATTAGGAGTTAAAAATTGTGTTCCTTACCTTATTATTCTACATCCTTAGAATTTGACCATTTCAATGGCTAGAAATGCAATAGTCAATATTATTCATTGAAATTCAATATTCATTTAAAACTCTTATTAAAGTTACTAAAATATTTAGCGAAGTTTTCATTACTGCCTGGCAGAGGGGGGGAAAAAAAAAGAACTGACCAGTAGTCTTCTCTTAAACTATTAGCAGTCGGATTTGTAATCTCCACAACTTTTTAGTGCTGTGGTACCTTATATACCACATAAATTTAATTCTCTGTATTTCCCATTCCCATATATTTGCAGCTTTTTTTCTTTTAAATGTGAGGATATAAGATCCATTATAGGATTATAGCTTTTCATTCTATCAACACAACCTGTACAAAGTCTGTTGCCTTTTTTTTTATATTGCATTTAATGTTTTCCAACATTTTGAAGAGGCAAAAGAGAGCCTTTATACCATTTTAAAGTCTTTATTCTAAAATTGTCTTCTCTAAAAACAAAAACAGACAAAAAAGCCCCATCTTTTCCCCACTCCTAGTTGCCTCATACATTTGAAAATATGTTTTGCAGCCTATTAACCGTTCTCCCTCTTATAATATCATCCTCTTGGCCAACATTCTTCGACCCTGGTCTGTAATATATCTGATTTTTTACATTGTTTTCACAGCTATCAGTGAGCATTTGTACTGCAACACAGACTCCTAAGGCAGTGCACAGCCATGGTGCAAGTAAATGTTCTTCACCACAGGAAGTCTAAGAGTTCACAGTGTTTACAAGGAAAGTACATGAACTTTGATTGTTCCAAATGCAATTTGCCTGTAAGATAATATATGCAGAATTCCACCACCAAATATCTAGCACCTAACTTTTCTAGAACTAACTGGGTAATAATCACTTTCCAGGTTTTGAAATTCATTGGCTTAACTTTTCTATTCAATTCTCTAAAGAAACAGCCTTCTACAACCTATGCTTCTAGGACCAAAAGAGACACGCAGCTGAGATCTCTTCACCTGATATTGAAGGAATGGAGTTTAGTATTTTTGCTATACTTTGAGAATGTGGAGTCTGTTCCTACCATAGATCACTGAAAACTCAAAGTTTCCTTGGAGAAATTATTAATATCAAAATAGCTCTAGTACTCAAGTGCACTTTAAACAGAAAAGCTTGTAAATTTTAAAGGCAGATGAGAAAGTAAATGTTTAAGTAGGATAGGATAATTTTATTTTACACACTTCTATTTAGAAAGGGAGGCCTTGAAAAGGAACCCAAACGAGCCAAATGTAGGGGTGGGTGTTTTCATTTTTTTTAAACTCACTATTTTCTTGGACTTAGTTTTCTCTAAGCTTACTAGAAACTTAAAGGGGAAAAAAGCACTTGGCTCTATTAAGCATCCTACCATGTTACAAAAGTGAGTGTTCGGTGATTCTTGCATCCTCACAAGCTTGTATCTCCATTCTGCTTGAATTCAGATAAAATATTGAGGGTCATGTCTTCACTCTTGGATTGCAAATTTGCCTCACTTCTTCTGGAAGCTTTCCTAGTGGCTCTGGAGAGTCTCCTCCTGAAAGTATCTCCTGCCAAGAAATAGAGAATGGGGTCCACACAACTGTTGAGACTTGCTAGACCTCTTGTCACCTGATAAGTGGCATAAACCCTGTCATTGAAAGCACACATTTCTGGGGTCTGAAAATCCAGCCGGGCCCTCAAATTCATCGTTTTCATCACATGGAAAGGGATGTAAGAGACAGCAAAGACAGTCAGTACAATAATCACCAGGTAAATGGATTTCCTCCTCAGAGGCGAGTTGTCCAGATCGTTGTAGATCAAAGCCCTCACAATTAATCCGTAACAGCCCAGAATCAATACCAAGGGGACACAGAACATGGCCACGGTTGTGCACATGCTGTAGATGAAATAACTCCGCAGGTACTCGTCGGAGGTGGTGTCGTAGCAGGTGATGGTTTTGTTTTTCCGGACCTGGGTGCCTGAGTAGAAGAGGATGGGGGAGATGCCCACCACCACGATGAGCCACACCAGCACGCTGATATAGACTGCGTTCTTCTTCTTGAGCCGGCCCAGAGACTTGAGCGGGTACACCACGCCGCTGTACCGGTGCGCGCTGATGCAGGTTAGGAACAGGATGCTGCCATAGAGGTTCACATGGAAGATGAACCTCTGCAGCTTGCACATGGCATCCCCGAAGATCCAGTCCGTCTTATTGAAGTAGTAGAAGATGAGCGCGGGCAGAGTCAGCACGTACAAGAAGTCGGCCAGGGCCAAGTTGAACATGTACACGGAGATGCCGCTCCACGGCTTCATGTGGAAGACAAACATCCAGATCGCCACGCTGTTGCCCAAGAAGCCGATAATGAACACCAAGATGTAGACAGCCGGCAGGTAGTAGAACTGGAAGCCCGTCTTGGTCAGCGAGCATGCGAACGAGGCTGCTGCGACAGCAGCGGTGGAGGCTGCGGTGCTGTTCCCCCAGGGCAAACCCTGGCCGGCCAGGAAGGTAGCGTCCGTCCCATTGGGGACAGCCGGCCACAGCACCTCGGTCATTCTCTCCTTCCCCGACTTACGCGGCGGCTCCTAGGGGCAAGTAGCGGCGAGAGGGCGGCAGCGGCGAGGGGCGCACCGAGCATCGGAAAAGCGAGGGAGCGGGCACCTGGGATCCCCACCGGAGGGGGCACACGCGGGCTCACCCACACCGGCTCCAGCCCCGCGTTCGCCACGGGCCATGAAATCCGCCCGCGGCCGCGACAAAGCCGGGCTGGCTGCCGGGCCAGCAACTTCCCCGTCCGGCTGGTCAGTGCCGAGGTTACACAACCGGGCGCACAGGACACCGCCACCGACAACTTTCCGACTGCGCTTTCCAGAGGGTTCGCGGCTCCTCACAGGAGAGCGGAGACCGTGCTGGGGGTTCCGCGAGGAGGTAGAGCCCAACTCGCAGTACTGCGTTCCGGCGTGGGGAAGGCGCTCCCCAGCCTTCTTTCCCCAAAGATCAACTTCGTTTGGGCATCTTCTTTCTCCCTACCTTGCGAGCAAGCAGCTCATTTCAGGGGGCCCGCGAGGCTTCCTTCTCGGTCCCTGCGCTTGCTCAGCCTCTGGGGGCCATCAGAGCGCGCGTTACTGCAGACCCGCGCGCCTCTGGATCGAGAAGTGTTCACCCTCAGCGCAGCTCAGGGCCCCTCCTCAAGGCGCTGCTCGGGGGGAGTGCTGGGGACAGGCGGCTCCCCGCGAGGATGGGCGGAGTTTGGGCACCCGGGTGAGTCCGGGCTCCCAGGAGGCTAGGGGCGTGCCTCGGCGGAGCCAGCCCGGCTGCCAGCCGGGGCTTTTCAGAGCGTCCGCCTGGAGCCAGAGGAGTGTTCTATGGAGATCTTCACGGTGACCGGGAACGCTCAGCCTCTGCCGCTCCGCTGCTCCCAGAGGCGCGGAGGGTGAGGGGGCGCTTGGTCCGCCTGGCTGCTGGGGAGCGATTGGCCCGTGAGCGCTCCTTCGCTCTTCCGCCAGCTATCCGGCAAAGTGAAGTTGCTGACACACAGGAAATCCTTCTGACTGCTCACAGCCTTTGCCTTCAACCCTAGAGCCCACGGGTCCAAGACAGAAGTCTCTAGGGCCCTTAAGAACCACGCCAGGTGTCTGCAGGTTCCAAGCAGCCAGCAGTCTCCAACGGGGAACGCCCTGCTGGTGCAATGCTCCTAGCTTCACGGAGACCAGATTCCAAGCACTTGCTGGAACGTGCTACTTCAAGAGAACGAGAGCTTTCGAAGGGTGGGGAGGGTTGGGAGGGAAGTGGGGAGAGAGTCTTTCTGCCCTTCTAATCTGCTTTTTACTTTTTATTTCAATATTTTTTCTGAGGTTAAATATGTTGACTGAAATTTGGTTAACTTATTTTCTAAAAGGGCCTTGTAAGCATATTAGTCAGTATTTCACATTGCCTAGAATAATTTATCTTGATACCTACCACCTCTGGGCAACACAAGGTCTCCAAATCCTCCTGTCCAGTACATTTCAAGATCAGAGGCTGCACCGTATTGTTTCAGAAATGACTTAAATATTAAGCACAGCTTTATATAGATGATAGATGTAAAGGCCGATTGCAACTCCAAAGTGATTAAGGTATGATTTGGGGGTTTTATTACCAATCCTATTTCTTTAGGTTAAAGTGATTAGTCACAATTAGCTCTACTAAGTACCTTAGCAATGTAGGTTGGGACTTCCCTAAACATCACATGTATTGAAAAACTCATTTCATGGCTTGAATGTATCAAAAATTTAAGCAGTGCACTTCAAAATTATATTTAACTGGAAAATAAATGAATTAACTTTTCAGGGAAATGTTTAAATGGGCTCACACAGGAGTGGAATCTAGCACTTCTAGACAATTGACTAATATTTTTTATGCTAAAGGCTTTTCTCTTAGAGGAAAAAGAAAATCCAAAAGAAAAGATCTATAAAATATATACCACAAAGATTTCTTTCTGGTCCCAGATGTTACGTGATAGTGTTCTCCTAAAAAACACCCAAAGGAAAACCACTAGCTACTGGCTTTGATATCACAGGAAGATTCCCCGCAAGACTCAGAGGGTCCTTTAGAGGAACACATACAGAAAGGACCCTACTCAAACGCATGACATCATGAGCACACTGGTTGTGGTCAATTTTGAGTTGTGGTCAATTTAACAGCATGAAAATAAAACTAGAGTAGATAACTCAAAAGGGCATGAATATTGTTTTGAAAACAGTTAATTGAAAGGAATGTTTTCTCATCTATAAAATGAGGGAGGTGGGTTTTATTATCTTCTATTTTTTCACTCCAATCTCCAAAGTATGGGGTTCTATAATTCTGAGGCTTAACATGGAACATTTTCATCTGGTTTGATTAGAATGGTACTAACTGGTATGATAGTCTATTAAGAGAGGAGCAAAGGAAACCATTAAGAATTTCACTGGTACTCAATAGGTCCTAAGGCACTCCTTTGCATTTTTCGTTTGCAACATAAGCAATATGTGACCTCACTTAAAGTCTGTTCCAAATGTGTTAATTCAGTGTGTTTTAAAAGGTAGTTAGTCCAGGGGCACCTGGGTGGCTCAGTCGTTAAACCTCTGCCTTAGGCTCACATCATGATCCCAGTGGAATCCAGCCCCACATTGGGTGCTCATCGGCCTCCCTGCTCTGCGGGAAGCCTGCTTTTGCTTCTCCCTCTCCCACTCCCCCCCCCCCCGCTTTTGTGTTCCCTCTCTGTCTCTCTGTCAAATAAATAAATCTTAAAAAAAAAAAAGTAGTTAGTCCAAATACCATTCAGTACTTTCAGAAAACTTGACACTTGACTAGGAATTTGGAGGAGATAGCCGTCCTAAGTGCACCAGTTATGTAAGTATTGCAAATACTGCTCTTACATTCATCATATCAAACTACATATTTACAATATGTTTAAGTTATATTTTAATCAAAACTTGTGTCTTGGAATAATTTATATATATTCAAATTATTGTTTGTTGACTTTATTTGTAATGCACTGAACTAGGTTTAATGAAGGAAAAAATAGTCTAAAACCCAAGAACATGTTCATAGTTATTGATTCTTTAATACCAATTATAAATGCCTTAAAGGTATGAAAATAATATGCAAATATGCTCCATATCTTTAAGTGACTTACCTCAAAATTTTGTATAAATTTGCTTTGTATTTGATTAATGTGAATGCCTGACTTCAAGGGATTTATAATTTCGTTGGAAATGCAAAGTACAACAACATAATAAGCCTTTCTTACAGTCAGCACTATACACACCTAACAAGAATTACCTTGAGTTTGAATTCTTAAAAATTTTCTCTAATTGATAATTGTATCCCTGTTTATTAAGTGGTGAAACAAAGTCAGAGAGGTTAAGTAACTTGTCCTTTGTCACACAGTAGAAACTGAGGTTTAAATTTCAGCCATCTTTCCCCACAGCCCCATACACTTTGCCACTATTCTATGTTGAAATACACACAAGTACAGGACCGCGGTAGGGAAAATTAAGTTTTAGTGGCCATTGCAGATTGAACATAGAAAGGGTGATTCCCGGAAGCCTTCTACTAAGAGAAAATTTGGAGCCGGATCTTGAAGGTACTAATAATAGTCAAAAAGTATTTCAGAAGCTTCCCAAGTGTTCTACTTCTCTACGTAGGATTTTTAAAAATAGCCAACAATATATAGATGATCTGAGGACAGACACTTATGGAGGATTCAGATCTGTTGGGCCTCGGACTCAAAAGGTTGCCCTTCCTGTGTTTACAAAGGTTTTCATAGTCATTGTTAGGGAATCTCTTGTCTTCCTTAGAGTCACAGAAAATCTAACAATCTTTGAGGATGGAAATATCATTGAAAAGATTCTAATCAAAGGCTGCAAGTATAAGAAACTTAGAAGCACAAAATATAAAATCCCCAACTTCAAAGTTGAGACCAAGAAACATGAGATTTGATTAAACAATACTACAAGTGCTAAACCTAATTTGGAGGGCAGGACCATGTTACGATTTTGCAGGTAAGAGACAATGAAACCCTGATACAGGAGAGAGAGGAATTTCTTAGAGGATTCCCTTAAGTATAATAATTAAGATGTGATCACTTCTAAGATAACACCTTAGGAAAAGACCCTTCTATTCCCCAAGAAGAAGACAGGATAAAGAAACAGAAGGACAAAGTCTAAGGAATTCACAGCTAATGTCCTCCAGTGAAGGGGGAGAGGGAGAGAAGGCTCTGATGGAGCGGGAGTGGGAAGAGAGCATACTGAGAAAAAGTGAAAGGATTGCTCTGTGCTGGGGAGGGCCCAGCTGCTCCTATAAATTATGTGCTTGTCATGGAGCCAATCAATAGGCTTCCTGAAGTGTATTTCATTAAAAATCACAGCGAGGACATAGAACACAGAAGAGAGGACAGCCCAGTTGCTCCAAGGTTGGAATGAGAAGAGGAGAGAACAAGGGACCAGGAAAGAGAAGGCAGAGAGAGGCAGAAGTTGGGGGGGGGGGAAGAGGGGAAACACTAGGTGTGGGCGGGGGGAAGAAGAGAAAGCAGGGTACTTGTATTGAACTGGGTGGAGATCTTTGAAAAAAATCTCATGGAGCATTGCTTTTCCATTATTTAGGTTTAAATCTGGGTAGGTGTGTGTGTGGGGAGATGTCCGGTCTTGTGGTCAGAGTAATGTCCTGATTGAGTGTCTGCCCCTTGGTAGATGACATTGAGCCAGGTTTTCCATCTGTGCCCTACCACTTGCAAGAACCTGTAAAATCACAGGCCACCTAAGTCTGCCATCCTTCGGAAAATTTCTTGCTCCCAGAAGTTAGGAGTATTCTAGGTAACTGCTTTCCTGTATTTACTTCTTTAATGTTTACTTCCCTTATCCCCATCCATATGAAGCTCTAGTCCCTAGTCCCAGGCACTTTGAAATATTTTTTAAAAGAATTTTCATTAAATCCAGAATAAAAGACTCCAGTCCGGGCTTATAGCCTCAGTCGTTCTCTAGTCATCTTCCTCAGGCAAATATTCCCTTTGCTCTTTTTATCTCTGATCTCTGGTTTCACAAGGGCATGTCCATAAAGTCTGTGGGTGTACAAATATCTTTAGAGCCAGTTACTCATATCTGAAATGTTACACCATAATTATGGACTCATGGAGGGTTTCCATGGTGGCACAAAGGATAAAAATATGACATTATTTGAAAGTTAATTGTCATTATTATAACCACCTAAATTTTTGACTTCTGGTACATCCATACTTTAAGTATATAAACTAAATTCCAAATAGGTAAATGAAAATCATGTGTAGAAATCAAGAAATACCCATTTTTTTCTCATGTTGAATCACATCTTCCATCAGCTCACTCTTGGGATGTTGACCTCAGTTATGTCCTGGGTGTCACACAATTTTCTAAGATTAA